ACACATTATCATAATCTCTTACCTATGAATGATGGGTTTTTTCTGATTCCCAACTAACTCTTTTCAAACAGGATGAAATACATTCTTTTTCATCAATTATTAATTAAACAGCAGCAAATGAGTTACATCTACAACTATGCCATTATGAAAGACCTTTCTATTTTTCAGTTAAATCCATCAATGTGTATGTATTGCAGCTGTCCCTTTTTTCATCCATCATTTACACAACACAAAAGCACCAAACAATTTCATTTACATTCATGTCTGTCAAATTGTGCTGTTTGGGCAAGGTACTTCACAAAACCTGGGAAGATATTCAACAAATGAAAAAGTTCCAGCTAATCAGTGCCAATGTTTGAAATGATGGAATACTGTAAAATGTTAAATCAATTTTTATCATCATACATGAATTTACAAACTCCAAACTTTTCAAGTTCAAGTTTTCTGTTCAATTCTTCTATTTTGTCAACCTTTTCCTTGAGTTGCCTCCCCTGTTCATGTAAGTTTTGCTGGAGTTGTTCTATGTAGGACTGGGGTCAGTGGCTGCTGTATCACTCTCTGCTTCACTGTAATATAAGCATTGTAAAGCATCACTATTATCTCTTCGACCACACAAACAATAAATATATCTCTGGAATTACAAATATACATCAAGGAATAGTTGCTAACATCATTTCATATTTTAGACAGTATGGGCAATCAATATTTTTATATGTAAATAACATAGCATATAGGTCAAAGTTCAGTTGTATTAAATTCTTTAAAACCATGTCAGTTGGCAAAATTAACTTAATACGATCTGACATTCTTACTGTATCTGAGATGGTGACTGTGGTAGATTCCTTATGGGAGGTTCCTGAGCTGGTGACATGCTCTCTGACTCTTAATTAGCAGCATCTGAAATGGATATTTAAACACTAAATATATTTCAGTTGGTGTAATTAGATTGTCCAGTAATATGTCCTGTATCCCTGAAGTACTGGTCAGTATAGAGTAATTTTGAAAGTAGATACATATTTAAGATTTTTAACAGCATGTGTATGTCCTGCATATATATGTACTTGAAATGTTACTTTGATTTGCAGCCAATCTAATTTCACTGATACAGAGAACATTTGCAAAATAAAATTCCCTTGCCATCATGACAAGAGTGTCTGCACATGTCCATATGCTTAAATTTTTTAATATATTGGACCGTTCATAATTTATGACTAGGGGGGTGATGATGATTTTAGGTGCCGTGTTTGTGGGGGTTGGGGTGTCTCCCAGATTGTTTTGGGAGGCAGGGGGAGGGGCCAATTATGTACATGTGAACTAGGGGGTGTTCACTGATTTTGAACATGACAATGTGTGTGGGGGTGGGGTGGGGGGGGTGGGGTTTGAATGTGTCTCTGTGTGTGTGACATTCACATTGTACATGTGCCCCTAATATTAAAACCTTGCATAGTGAACAGTTTGTACATTACACGGCAGATCTAGACTATGCCATGTGCCGTAATTATTTTGTACTTACTATGAATCATTTTCGAGGATCTCTCCGTATTTTCGTCAACCACTGCCTTCTTCTGATCTTATTCTTTGGAATATGGTGAAAGGATACCGTAAAATCCTTACGGGCATCACTCCAACGCAAAGGCACAGCAGTAATCTCTCCTTTCCGAGGTCGCCATTTTCAAGTTTGGGTCAACCTATTTAAGCCTCGCTTTCGATTTGACCTCGAGGTCATGCATATTGGCTAAGAATGGTCTATAAAATCCGTAACATGATATGCATGCGTTACGCATTGCTATTTAACAAATTCCAGCTGAATCGGTGCGAAAATGAGCCACTAATGAGACAGTATGGCAATTTTATAATGAAGGTAAAATGCGATGCACAGCAAAACCCGCACTATATTTGTTGATTCTTACTATTCAGTACCTACATAGTAAATTGAAGCTGAATTGCTGCAGAAATGAGTCACAAATCAGTCAAAATGGCATTTTCAATATGGCCATATGCATATTGCAAGAAGATATATGAAAATGTTCAGCTTCATCACTCAAGTAGATAGCAGTTTCAGAGAACATGTTTTAAAGATATAACTGAAATTAAAGGCCATGCCGAATAACAGGTCAAACAGGTAAAATGGCGAAGTGTTGAGTTTGCTATCTGGCACAGATATATCAACTTTCAGCTGATTCACTGCAGAAATTGGGAACTAAAGAGCGAAAATGTCATTTTCAGTATATGGCGGCTGTAGTCGCCATATCTGAAATTGGATCGGAATGCCTCTAACAACCTTTGGTGTCCTCTTGGTTTGGATCATGTATGTCAAGTTTCAGTCTCATCGGCTAAGTAATGTCGGAAATGATGTTTACAGATGTCGCACGACGACGGACATACAGCACGCGACATAACCTCGTCTGAAGTTTGTCCAGGTGAGCTAAAATGTGTCTATGTTCACCATCCAACCAGTGTGCGAAATAGTTTCCAAATTGTACTTACCAGTCGGGCAAGCTATGCCTGAAAGTTCTAGCCCACAAAATATATCACTAGCCCGAAATTTGAATGTAGACACGGGTTTCATCATTAAGCTTCCAATATGATGAACATTTTTATCAGGCCATAATCTTGCATGATTTAAAAGTATATTATAAGTTAACATGTCGGAGAGAATTATATGTTTTCAAAATCACCCCATGAAAGTTCACTTGCCAGTCGGCCCAGCGACTGTGGAGATTTACTGGCCCGACTGGAATTTTACAAGCCACGGACTAGCGGACCAGTGACTATTTCGCACATTGCATCAAACCAAAGATGTCCGGTACGTTGCATACGCGTATATATCTTAACATATGTATCTTACTTGACAGTGTAGAAACAGCGAGAGTCATTATTCAACGAGGGTATCTTTTCAATACGTGATCCGGGTTTATTTTCAATAGCCGGGTATATATTCAATGTTGAAAAAAAGACCCCGGGCGTTGAATAGTGAGTCCGGGTAATAATTCAATGTTGAAAAAAGTACCCGCCGGGAACCTTTTCAACGCGTGTATGTTTCACCGGTTCTACAGGCGGAATGGCGTCAGATTAGTGATGACCTTGTCAGATGATTTGTGTACCTCGACGTCTTAGGGCGTGGATCTACGAGGTGACCACATCCGGTATGAAGGTACTTCTGCTCTGATTAATCATGTGCTAGTGTGATCGAATAGTCATCCCCCATGTCACAAACTTGCCTCCAGAACTGTAAATGTTTGTCAACACACAACTATTATTGAAAGAGAATTCTTAATTATATAACGTTACAAGATCCTCTTGTTTGTGTTTGTGTCGTTTGCGAGTTGACAAATACATATATTTTGCCCTTCAGTTTATCTACGGGAACTGCACTCACCAGTGCTAGTAAGATACTGTAATCTAGAGTTACTGACAGGTGCGTGGATTTGGCGACATAACGCTAATTATCTTAACTTAAGCGTGTCGGCTTCACACTTACGAAACACTACCTATGCACATGCGACCAACCCCGCCCCCTCCCATGAAAACTTAAAATGTGCACACTGTGCTGGGTAGACTTCTTTGTAAATGCACAGCATTGTATTCCGATAATAACCTAATATATTGAGAGTTAATGTTTGTCCCTGACCACGTTAGCCAGTTTTACCTTGTAGATGGAATGGTAATACCTTCTAAACAAACACTTCCCATTCTGGCCGTTAAAATAGCTAGTGGACAAATCACCTGTACTTCCCGTCGGAAACCCTTTTTCCTTTTAAGGTTAAACGTGGTGTCTCCGGTTGATCATGATCGATCCTTTGTACAAATACAATGACGTGACGTCATAGAGCATCAATATACTGCCCACCATCCCTTGCACGTGTTATAACAGATTTGTTTTAAGGGAGCATAACATTGCTGTATTACCCTGACCTCTACGCTGTAGAACCTGTCTGGGATGAGATGGAAGGCGACTCCTAAGGCAGGATCAGAACCAGCCGGTAACGCTAGCCTAGTTTTATTGACACTAGGCCCCCTCAACGAAACTGATTTAAACGCAAACAAAATACAGTACACTGTGGTTAACGAACTGAAAGTGACCACTAATTACATAGAGGATATTATATGAGTGCCCATGTCATACTATGTTTACGACACGAGTGCCTAAATGTTGATATTTCCCGAGCGAGTGCGAGGGATATACCGATATTTAGGCACGAGTGTCGTAAACATAGTATGATATGGGCACGAATATAATATTCTGTTTATTACCGAAGTCGTCAAATTGAGGAAAATAAACTCAAATCTACTTTCAAACATAGGCTGGCTACCCGCCGTCGCCGTATGCAGAACGTAACGTCATAGAAGAAACGTGACGTCATAGCCTTGTTCATGACGTCACGTCACCATGACAAAGTGATATTTTGCCCTAGGGCATCGTATGAAAATTATGAACCCCGATATGTTCGCCGTCGTAGGTAATAAAGTTCGTTATGACAGTAGTTCTTCATACGCAGTTCTACTATGATACACATCGAGTGGCATGGAATGAGTAAGTGAGTGAGTGAGCAAGTGAGTGAGTGAGGTTTTGCGTCGCTTTTAGCAATATTCCAGCAATATCACGGCGGGGGACACCAGAAATGGGCTTCACACATTGTACCCATGTGGGGAATCGAACCCGGTTCTTCAGCGTCACGAGCAAATGCTTTAACCACTCGGCTACCCCACCGCCCGCAAGTAGAATGGAGAGAGTGAGCGAGTGAGTGAGTGAGCATGGACCAAACAAACGGTTCTTTATACCCGTAATTTCGTTATAAGCGAAAAAGGTAATTTCCTGTACAAATAGCAGTCTCTACATTATCTAGTACGATCTGGTCTAGTCCTCATTTCACTGTATCTCATGAACTGCACTTCGTCCTTGAGTGAAGATAGGTCGAAAATAACCTCGAACTTGATCAGTCCTACCACCATGGGAATCGGCCACGTGGGTGGCTCTCAATGCCATATTTTCAACTTTATAGGGAACATTTTTCAAGTTGAGCTAGGAGTTCTATTTATAGCGATAAATGATAAAGTTTGTTCATTCCCTTACTGCACACTGACGTTACACAATCCGAACACTTGTGGTCTTCTGTTTAAGTGTGGTAAATATGACGTAATTATGTATTTAACGCCTCTGAATGTATTTATGTCTTTTTTACGACGTGTATTAAATGTTTTGACGTCTTGACTTCATCATTTACAAAAACTCCACTTCTCTTACAGTATTTCGGCTCCGTTACAATGTTCCTCGCTATAACGCTTCTCCTCGCCGTTGGCGTGTACGGGTGAGTGGTTCATATATGTGGTTTCTTTTGAACATGTTATGTGATTGCAGAAACTATTTCTTGGTTAGCTTGTTTGTTGCAACCTTTTACAACCCAAAGTGATATTCTGGTAGGCATGTATAATATGGCTTGGCATGCATGAAGCACTCTTCTGGTAGTCGTATGTAATATGGCAAGGTATGCATGAAGCACTAATCTAGTCGTCGTGTGTAATATCGCAAGGTATGCATGAAGCACCGTTCTAGTCGTGTGTAATGTAGCAGGGCATGCATGAAGCACTGTTCTAGTCGTGTGTAATATCGCAAGGTATGCATGAAGCACCGTTCTCGTCGTGTGTAATGTGGCAGGGCATGCATGAAGCACTGTTATAGTCGTGTGTAATATGGCAAGGTATGATTGAAGCACTCTTGTAGTAGTCGTGTGTGATATGGCAAGGCATGCATGAAGCACTCTTCTAGTTGTTGCCTGTAATATGGCAAGGCATGCATAGAGCACTCTTCTGGTAGTCGTGTATAATATGGCAAGGTGTGCATGAAGCACTGTTCTAGCTGACGCGTGTAATATAGCAAGGTGTGCATGAAGCACTGTTCTTGTAGTCGTGTGTAATTTGACAAGGCATGCATGAAGCACACTTCTAGTCGTGTATAATATGGTAAGGTATACCTTCCAGGCGTGTATAATATGGCAAGGCGTGCATGAAGCATATTTTCTAGTTGTGTATAATATGGCAAGCTATGCATGAAGCACTCTTTTAGTTGTTGCCTGTAATATGGCAAGGTATGCATAGAACACTCTTCTGGTAGTCGTGTATAATATGGTAAGATATGCATGAAGCACTCTTCCAGGCGTGTATAATATGGCAAGGCGTGCATGAAGCACATTTTCTAGTTGTGCATAATATGACAAGCTATGCATGAAGCACTGTTCTAGTGGTCGTATGTAATATGGCAAGGTATGCATGAAGCATTGTAATGTTAGGTGTTATACGGTGTATTTTGCCAATGCATGGATGAAGTATTGTTATTTTGGACGGTTGTTTAGTGTGTTATATCAGGTTATGTAGAAAGCATCATGGTGTAAGTCTGTCGTGAGCAATGTCCAGGTACATCGACAACAGCAGTATATTAATTGTTAATCTCTACAGCCAAGATCCACTACACTGCATACACAGCAACGTTGACAGTATAGCAGCTGACAAGGTCATCGAGACGATCGTTGCTGACGCCGACGTTAACGGCGACCATGAACTTTCTGCCCTTGAGGTTATCATTGAGTTCGTTGGAAAATTTGATTCAAACGGTAAATATATATATTGTCTGTATCAAATACAAGAACGAAACCTTTTGTTCGGAAATAGTGAAATCATATGTCGTTTTAACCAGGACACTTTCCACTCAGAATAAAGGCGCACGGGAATTTATTTGGAACCGACGGCGTCAGCCGGAGGTTTAAAATAAAATATTCCCGTGCTTCAAATACTCAATAACACCCGGAAATTGGCCAACACATGAAGTTTATCGACATTGTAAACACAAAAGTAAACCAAAAGGTCCACACACGTTTTTGTGTCTGCACTCATTGACATGGAGTACGGGTACAGCAGTGAAATGTCATCAGCCGGCCGTTTCGGCTGTCTCCCATCGTACCATCTGGAACTGCTCATTTGCGACGTCATTCTGACTTTACGTCACAATATGATTTGAATGACGTCATCACAGCTGACGACGTAACAATACAATGGTGTGAGCGATGTTTGAATGTATTAATACGCAGCGAATTTCCGGGACTCAAATACCATTTGATCATGTTTTTCAACCAATCAGATTAAAGCACACAGTGACTTTTGGTTTACAATTTTTGTTGACAATCTGGATATCAAATGAAACATTTTCAATATGCTGATTTTTGTTGACAATCTTCATAGCAAATGAAACCTTTTCAATATGCTGATTTTTGTTGACAATCTGGACATCAAAAGAACCTTTTCAATATGCTGATTTTTGTTGACAATCTGGATATCAAATGAAACCTTTAAATATGCTGAATTTTGTTTAAATATGCTGACTTCTCTTGACTAAGTGGATATCAAATAAAAAACTTCAATATGATGACTTGTGTTGACTTTGTTGACTAACTGGATAGCACATGAAACTTATCAATATTCGACAAGGAACCTACACCGAAGCATCGCGCAAGAAGTTATCCCTAAAGCCGTATGCTTCACTGCTTTTCAATGTATCTTCCAGGGGATACTATGATCACAAAGAATGAGTTTGTTACGAAATGGCACGAGATATACCGAGATGTTCCGGAATTTGCCAACTACATCTTCACGCATCTGGACCAGACGAACGATGGTTTCCTCGGGCTGTTTGACTTCGTTCCTCTCCAAGCCATCATGGACATCGACCGTGAGTTGATCTTCATTTGAAATTATTTTTTTGCTTTCGCTGGTAGAGTTGAAAACTGTTAAAGTGACTGTGGTAAAACAGTTCATTTTAGTAAAACCTTACCTGACGTCGGTGACGTCTTATCCCCTGTTGACTACCGTCATCATCAGGTTCTAGGTCTTTTCTATAACATTTGGATATTTGGGCTGCATCAACCAGGTCAGCGAGTCTGACCACCCGGTCCCACTGACGACAAGCATGGGCTGCTGAAGACCATTTCTAACCCGGATTAATCTTCACGTGTTTTGTTTCTATAACAACTATCTTCATCCAAGTTGTCTCTATGTCCCGGTAACCACTTTTGTGTATGTGATTTTGGGGGGGTTGCTGTTGTCGGTGGTGGTGGTTGTGCTGCTGCTGCTGTTTCTATTTTGTGATTCAACTCTTGTACCTTTTCAGATGACGGCAAAGTATCGGACATTGAGTTCACTATATATTTGACTCACGTAAGTATCAAAACACAGCCACAGCCCCGAGTGTGACTGATTTACATCCCTTTGGAAAACCAGCAACCTACGGTTCTGGGTTCATGTATTCTGAACAGCAAAAGAAACGCAAGTCTGGCTTTTTGTCAAGTTTTTAAATAGAAGACAACCAAAATTATGTCTAATCATTTATTCTATAGAAAATACTGTCAGTTTAACATCTGAAGGTTGTTGTTGACATTGAATATCAATAAGTTCAAATTGATCACAGTCCGTCAAATGGAAGGATACCCCATCTTTAGTACCGCATATAGCCACCTTGAGCTTGTACACAGGCCGTGCAACGTCGCTCATTGAGGTCACTAGAGTCTTAAAGAATGCCTGAGGCAAGTGGTTCCACTCAAACACCAATCTCTGTTCCAACTGTGCAAGTGTGAGTGGAAGTCTACCTGCAGCAATCCTACGTCCAATTTCGTCCCGGAATGTTCAATGGGAGCCATATCCGGGGATAGAGACGGCCATGGAAGAATGTTAGTGCTGCTCTGAGCCAAATACTCCATCGACACCCTTGCTGTGTGAGGGTCGTAAACGCCGCTGGCGTTGTTGACGTGTCAAAATTGGCCCCTCATATGGCCGTCGGCAGTGGATTCCAGCAGCCTGACTACGCCTAATCGTACCCCTTGACTCATGAACTAAGGCTGCTGTTACTGTTGCTGCTTGAGTTCGGTTCCTTACATGAGTGACCCGGATGAACCGATCTTGCGCATGAGTTGTCACTCGTGGCCGTCCGGTACGGGAACGATCAGCAGCAACCCCGGTTTGATGATGACGTTGAGCAAGTTGTGTAATGGTGGTAAGATGACAGGCCAATTGTCTAGCTACAGCGGTTGCAGAGCTACCTCCGTGCAACATTCCAATGACCATTCCCCTCTGCTCAGTCGTTAGTCTAGGCCTCGTTTGTGTGGCGTGTACACCTCCTAGCGTCAATACTGAACTGTCTTTTGGCACAAACTTTTATAAAGGATACCTCAGAGTGAAATGCATGCTTTCCATCCAGAACCGTCGATGCACGTGCTACATTTATGGGTTTGCTGCACTCTGGGTGTGTTTGTGCGAATGTTTCGTATGGACGTCAAACTGCATGCCAAAATCTCATCTGGGATCGTTACGTCACTTTACCATGAACGTTCCATAGACATGAACACTTACTTTTATGCGATTTCTTTTTTCAAACTTGCGTTTCTTTTGCTGTCCAGTATATTTATACGTTTTGTCTACAGTACCCTATGACAGATAAAAGAGGATAGAAAATTTGTGACAATAACGAAAGGCGTACGTGGGACTTGAACAGTCTATAACGCTTAATAGACAAAGTTCCAAAGGAATTCCATTGTGACGTAGAGGTCACGTTTTCATGAAGGTCTTCCCACCTTCGGGTATTGTTCGATGACTCAGTTTAACCGTTTAAAGATACAAACGATATGGCATACCCGGTCTTATTGGGTTCAATGTGTTTCTGACTACGGTAATCGGGGGATAATGTTGTAATGCCATATTGAGTGGGTGAATTTAGTTTTATGCCGCACTCAGAAATATTCTAGCTATATTCTAGGTCTGTAAATAATCGAGTCTGGGCCAGACAATCCTGTGATCAACAGCATAAGCATCGATCTACTCAATTGGGATACAATGACATGTGTCAACCAAGTCAGCGAGCCTGACCACCCAATCCCGTTAGTTGCCTCTTACAACAAGCATGGGTTACTGAAGATCAGTTCTAACCCGGATCTTCACGGGTTTGTAATGCCATAACCCAAAATATCCGACATTTTCAGGGTGTGTATTTGTCACGTGTTGTTTCAGCTCTATCAAGACTGTGTGCCATTCAAGATTCAAAATACTGCTTGAACATCATGTGACGTCACTTCCTGGGTAAACCACCGTTTCGTTATTCATGCCTTAGTATTTCTGACTGAATGTGAAAATAAAATTTCGGTCCTGAACCATGTGTGACTTTCTCATTTCTGTACCCGCCGTGATATTGCTGTAATATTGCTAAGATGCTAAGATTATATTGTTGTGCGGCGTCGGGCAACATACACTGACATTTTTATGTACATTGATTGGAGGGTGCTTCCGGTCAAGCTGCGCAAAAGTACTCTTTCTTCAAACACCTGGTGTCATCATAGATTTTCACGGATGCAATACTAAACAAAAAAAGAATCTTCACATTTGTTACTTGATGTCCCAAACACACAAAGCTTGTTACAAGTGGATAGAACTGGTTTATGGGCGTAATGAGCGTGAACTAAAATATGATTCAGGTGCGCTTGGTGCACCCTCCACAGTCAACAGTAGCACGATGGGGGCCATTTTTTTTATTTCACGGGGACTAGCAATCTGTATTGGAGCTTTGCTCAGTACCGCGCATGCCCCTCTCTTGCACTCTCAACAGCAAGGCAACGTTAACGTTGTCTCTTTTACTGCATAACACTCGTGAAAACAGCATTAGACAGTCTGCGCCATTGCTGTACCAACATGGCGACCAGCTCTTGAACATTCTTGGCTTGTCGTCTCAAGACACAAGACTTCTTCCGAGAGCACCCCATACGTGTTCGATGGGATTGAAGTCAGGTGATCTCGATGGCCTCTCCATGTCGTCAGTACCCGTATTTTTTCGTGTCGAAACAGACTGTTCATTACGGCTTACCTGTTCAAGAATAGGCCCAACATCTTCAGGCACGAAGATTGGCAGCGGAAGTGATTTCGTTTGTCTGGGCACTTACGCGGCCCCTAAACATTGCGTTACTGGTTGACGTTGTTGTCGTGATACAATTACGAAAATGACGTTGGAGAATTTGATTGTCCTCGGCATGTGACGTCACCTGTCACATGGTGACCTGAGGCTAGCAGATGTCGTACCCGTTTCATGCACACGTCCCCAGGTAGTAAATTGTCCGTCTGCTGCATCTCATGGCACGTGCACAGCCACAGTAGACCGGCCAGCCTGGAGCTTGTCAACTGCATGTTTACGTTCAACATTTGTAAAGACTGACATGAGAATTGTTTATCTCTCATGGATTGTTAACGTGTGTTTATTCTTCTAATCAGCAGCAAATTCTGCACACCTTTTGATAGGTACGTGCAATTGTGGTCACATGACGCAAAAGATCGTGCTGCATGCACCACACGTGGTTCACCACAGTAGAAATGGACGGATGTGCCAGGTTGGACCCATTCTCTTCCCACAGAGGTTACTCCTGTCATATCTTCCTACGTAACCTCTGTTCTAATACGGCCCCGCCGTGATGTTGCTGGAATATTGCTAAAAGCGGCGTAAAACCAAACTCAGTCAGTCAGTCAGTCTAATACGGCCCTTTCATGGTGTGAGCGTTCAAGACTCGTGATTGGAGGCAATCAGATTTAGTTGTGCAATCAGCGACGTTGTTTCAAAAGTGATCATTCGCAAGGCCTCGGTAATTTCCGTATTCTTCGAGAAACCTTCTTCCCCTGCGCGATAAACGTTTCCCTAGACAGAACTCAGCGATGGCGGATCAGTGGCGTCTCCATCGCCCTCGTTGACAACGGACAAGCTAGCCATTAAACGTCTTGTGTGTAACATCAACACAAGTCCCCGGCAGATGGGGGATATTTGTGGCCCCACATTTGCTTGTGTTAGTCAAGTTGAATCTAAGTCGATGTAACACGTGTTCTGATTGGATAGAAAGAAGGGAGATAATTCGTGTTGCGATCTTTTGCCGCTAGGGGATTTTACGAGAACCGGGAAATATGGCCGTATTAGAACAGAGGTTCGTAGGAAGATAAGACAAGTAACCTCTGTGGGAAGAGAATGGGTTGGACCTGGTCATGATGACATTCGCCCATATTCACAACCTTGTAATACATTTCATTTCACCAAAAGTGAAGTTTCTTTTTTGTTCAGTATAATTTGCACTGCTATTTGCCTTTCATGCCAAATGCTGATAATAGAATTATGGAATTCGATTATTCTCAAGCGGTCTCTAGCCGGTTTTTATATTGTAGTTATCTTTTTATCGTTTAATATTTTATATGCCCTCAAACTAATGATAATCTAATAATTATGTAATTGTCTGGTTGTTGTACTGCCCTCCTACGACAGGATTTGATACAGTTGAAATATATTTGTCATTGATGTTTATTTTTCTCCCGACACGATATGGCGGCGCGTGGTCCTGTGCTCACAGCTCAGGTCACAAATCGGTGAAGTTAAGCAGCGTCGAGCGCGGAGAGTCCTTGGATGGGTGACCGTGTTTGGCAGCTTGACTCCTGAGAGTTTCTAGGACTTGAGTCCTGCCCCACAACGAAGCACATGTGACATGTGGTCTCACCTCAGGCAAGTGAGTTTGTTCAAAATTGTCTCTGTTCACCCAGCAGGAAAATGGGTACCCGGTGGAAAAAGTCATATGACTATAACCTTCTAGCGCCTAACAGGCAGCTTGGGTTATCCGGGGTAATAATGTGCTGTGCCTTGATTGTTAGCGCTATGAGCATACCGAGTGTGGAGTTTGGCGCTATATAAATGGACACATTATTACTTATTATTAACTACTGCTGATGTGACGATAGTTTTCACTCACTCACTCTGGCTTTGACGTTGTTTAAACAGACTCAAATACTAAGCATGGAATCATTTGGAGTTGTTCAACCGAATATGCAGTTTGAGCACGACTGATTCTTCGCGGACTACCCGATCCGTTAGTCGCCTCTTACGACAAGCATGGGTTACTGAAGATCAATATTCTAACCCGGATCTTCACGGGTAATTTCTTGGAAACACAATAGTACAATGCTACATGTTTACTACTAAAGCGTCTAGGGGTGGTGGGGTAGCCTAGATGTTAAATCGTTCGCTCGTCACGCTGAAGACCTGGATTCTATTCCTCACATGGGTATGTGTGAAGCCCATTTCTGGTGTCCCCCGCCGGGATATTACTGGAATATTGCTAAAAGCAGCATACTACTAAAAGTCACTCACTCACTCACTCTGGACATGTCAAGTCAAATCTGTTTTGTACTTCAATGATATAACAACGGTGTAGGTTGAGAATAGCCGCAACGTTTAACTAGAGAAATCTTCGAACATCTATGTATACTACCTATCACTTAAAGCTCTCACTATATGTTATGTGTACACATGTGGTTACATTAAAGATGAATTTCTCCATAAACTTGTGAACCAACTGCAAACCGCATGCAGATGAATTGCACGAGGATCATGCATCAAATTGCTGAAAAGCATGTGCAAATATCGTACATGTGAACAGCTGCGTTTTGGTGTAAAGTTTTGTTAAGAATTCGTCAATTGTCACTGAGTTTGATCATATATTGAACTCATGACAGTAATCTTTTCAACATTACGAATTTGTTTTACAATACATCAGTTCATGTGTAAACAACACCTTTAATCAGTATGGAATATTTTGCAAAATCTAGTTTATAACAGTTGACTGAAGTAAGTGGCTACATTTACACTTGGGAGTCTAAACTTTTGATGGGTAGTATATGTATAAACCTCATATCAGACAGCCAATATTCAGTCACGATATATGATACAGTACAACCAGAAATTATTGAGCGTTTAAAGATTGTAACTTTCTTAATTTTTTTCACTCATTACTCACGTATTAAATGTGAATATTAGCAAAACATAACTCCAGATTCAAAGACAGGTGAACAGTTAGTATTTTGTCAAGTCACCATGGGCAGCAATGCAGGCTTCAATGCGGCGGGGCATACTACTGATCAAAGAAGTTAGAAAGTCGTGGTCCATGCTGTCTCAATATCGGACCACCTCTTCTTTCATTTCAGCAATATTTGTCAGATTTTTCTTATTGACACTTTCCTTCATAAGTCCCCAAATAGTTTCTATTGGATTTAGGTCAGGGCTATAGCTTGGCAAATCTAATAATGTCATATTTTGGGTCCGAAACCAGGCCTGTGAATGCTTTGAACGATGTTTTGGGTCGTTGTCCTGCTGGAAAATCCAAACATTTCCATAGAACATGTGTGCAGATGGAAGTAATTGTCCCTCGAGAATATCTGTGTACCGCTCACTGTTCATATTCCCTTCAAAGACACAGAGGGGCGTTGCCCCTAACACAGATATGCCACCCCACACGTTAAATTTCAGACTGTACTTTGGGCGCTGATACAAAGGTTTTTCAGGTTGTTTGGTCCAGAATTTCAGTGTATTAAGAAACAGCCACACAGAACTTTCATCTGAGAAAATCACATTGCCCCTGTTAAAATTTCTATGCTGTAAGCACCAGTTCAACCTTCGCTCCATTTGTTCAGGTTTCATGATCTGTGATGGAACTCCTCGACTTTTCTGCCAACCCATTGCATGAAGCTCAGTTCTAATTGTCTCCTTACAGACAGCCACCGTTCTTCCATCAATCATATCCAGCCTTAAGTTTTCTAAACTCCTTCGATTGTTTTTAGAAACAATAATACCAAGCCACCTCCTGTCACCGACAGTCAATTTTCTGGGCCAACCTGCGCCTCCCTAGTGCTCAATGCCATATCCATTTGCAATATTTTTCAAAACACGATAAACAGTGGACAAAGGGATGCCTGTTCTACTTGAAATCACTTTAGCTGATCTGATGTCCTTGTTATAATACTCTAAAATCAACTTCCTCTTCTTTAAATCATCCATACTGAGGATCACTGAAAATGTCGTCTGCTAGCAAGTAAACAAAGAGGGATAACTCTTCACAAACTAATGAAAAATGATTAACGGAGTTGTCTCTCTTGAATGAAACCAAGCACTTGATAGCTGGTCAAGGTTGGTTATACTAGAAATCCAATTAAACATATTCCTAAAATTCTCAATAATTTCTGGTCATACTATACAAGATGGATAGATTGCTATCAAGGAAAACTGAATGATTTCCTGAAAATAGCTGAAAGGATTTAGATAACACGTGTCACAAGACAGTGAGACCACACCTCTAACTGACACCTCCACAATCAAACTAGCAATCTGGCCTTATCATGTCCCACGCCTAAATATATATTTCACAAGAAAATAGATCCAGATTATATATACTCCTCACAAAAGTTAAGCAACACAAATTTTTAGTCTCATAACATATTCATTTATTGAAATTGCAAATCATGGAATGATGCAATAGAATGGTGAATCACACGTACACATGATTAACGAAATGGAATGGTATTGAGCAATAATAGACTTAAAAATCATCAAAAGAATGTACCCGTGAAACAGTCGTGCAAAATGTGCTGCATTAAGGTTCAAGTTTTGGATAGTGAAGCAGTGTTCAGTAACGCGTATGACCACCATGAACACAAATGCAAGCTTCTACACCCCTTTGCATTGACCAAATGAGCCTTTAAAGTTGCTGTTGTGGAATGTTCTGCCATTCTCTCTGTAACACCTGCTCAAGGTCATCCAGAGTCTTGGGGTGAACATGGAGACCGTAAACACGACTTCCAATAATGCCCCAAGCATGTGCAATGGGATTAAGAACAAGTGACCTTGCAGGCCAGTCTATATGTGTCATGTTGTTATTCTAAAGAACATAGTTAGCAACTCTTTCTCGGGCATTATCATCCATGGACGGGCATTATCATCCATGGACGGGCATTATCATCCATGGACGGGCATTATCATCCATAAAAAATGAAGTTAGGACCCGCTTGTTGTGCCAGAGGAATGATTACAGGTAGGTTTACACCGATCAAGGTGCATGCGTGAAGCGTGGAGCACATTCATGCCACACATTTTGCACGTTGTTTCTGTGGGTGGTTGTATTCGGGTGATGTTGTCAATTTTATCAGATAAATCAATTTGACGGTCACTAAAGATTATGTATTCTTTGAATATTTACCTTTCTGTAACATGTCGGCAAAAATCGCTATCGAAATTGATAAAGATATTACACTGAAAATACGCATTGCTTAATTTTTTGTGAGGAGTATATATGAAGCTCTGGTGATGGCCTTATTATGACAAGATAGCTGAGATTATTCACAAGACATGGGTCTTGTCTTTGACGCACCAGTGACAAAAAATATGTCCTGGGCAATCTCCTACTTTGACGTGTACTATTTTTGTGTGAACACTTGTTCACCTTTGGGTGTGTTTGTGAATGGGGCCACGGGTGGACTAGAATGCGCTCATATTATCTCTCTTATTACCTTTGCTGGATTTTATAAAGTTGATTTGAGTGTGTGGGTGAGTGAGTGAATAGTGTTTTATGTGGCACCTGACCTTTTGCATGGGAACATATCAGATGGTTTAAGACCCTGTTTATCAAGGTCAGATGTACTAAATAACAGCGATGCCACCACGTCACAACAAACAGGTTGGTCACGTGATTTACTTTCAAGCTGGTTATTTTGACTTTGCAAGTAAAACCAAAATGAAGAGAAAAACACAAGAAAGATTCGATTCTGATCATGTATAAATAATTTTCTTGCCTGTCATTACTTCTCACTTGAAGGTAGCATAACCTCTCATACACGTCGACGGGATATAATATACTCTACTAAAAAGTAGATGAACTTCCTTTTTAATTTACGATTGAAAAAAGTGGGAGATATATCGGAGTCAGTCAATGTTGATATAGCTATTTGTATAGTCATCGCTCTTGAAAGATGATTGTGTATGACATAATATTTGCATGTGTACGATTTTCATTTTCAAATGCAAGATGATTGTCAAAATTAATGGTGTACAGTGATTTATCGACCTTCTTGAAAATCACCAAAATTAAGAATGACACCCCATGCACGTCTATGGGGCTGCTGCTTTGTGCACGTGCATCCCATGCGTTTTGTTTAGGGGTGATGATTAAGAGAAATGGTGGTGTGTTCATAAGATGTCTGTCTTTGAAATGTTTGTTAACGTTTATACTTCCTATCCCCTACTTTTTTATGTTAAAATTCCTTAACTGAAATACAAAAGCAGGTTATCGCGGCCTGTGGAAACAATTTGGACCGTAGAACGAAAGTACTGTATTTAGCAGCAGCTAGTTTGGTTGGAATCTTATCATCAGGCATCCTGTTCCAGATCAGAAAGACTGATAGTCAGAAGACCTGGTAATATCCTAAGCAGTCTGTAAAGTAGATCAAATTTAATTGAAAAGTTTACATAAGAGCACGCGGTGTCCTCCCATTTGTGAGAATTCCCAATTGTGAGACACATTAATTAATGGTTCAGTGCACACAGGTGGTGCTTCCCCATCCCAACGATGAAAGTGGGAACAGCCCTGTTGCAGAAGAGTTCCCGCAGGAGGCATAGTTCATTAATGAGTTAATTAACACAGAAGACATTGTTCGTTGAAGAGCATTTATTGTTTTCATTAGATACTGAAATACTGAAAAAGATTATCGTGAACTGGTGATATATTCTACTTGTTGAAGGCCTGCCATAATGGTGATCGGAAAGAGCAGTCAAAGGTTAATAAATACATTTGGATTAATTATAGTTACAACAGTTATTGCTAGATTTTTCAAACACGTAAATCTGAGTAGGTAAATTAATTTCTCAATCAAATGATCACGAAGTTACCTACACAAAGTGTTTATTTTTTTAAAGCCATTTATCTGAGTAGGTTAATTACTTTATCTTCTAGAGTTTCATTAAGTTACCTCCACAAGATTCAGTTAAATAGTTAATCCATAATTAGCTGGGGTTAATCCATTCTATCAGATAGGGGAGTAAGGTGTGTTTTCTTTGCTAATTACCTACTCCACTGCCTCACAACTGGGAGTCTCACAACTGGGAGTCTCACAACTGGGAGTTCTCACAAATGGGGGTAGACAGAGCACGCCACTATTCCACTCCCGTGCCGAGAGCATATAAGATACATTTGTAAGAGCTACGAGTGGTTGAGTGAGTGAGTTTAGCTTTAGGCCGATTTTAGCAATATTCCAGCAATATCACGGCAGGGGACACCAGGAATGGGCTTCATACATTGTACCCATGTGGGGAATCGACCCCGGATCTTCAGCGTGACGAGTGAACGCTTTAACCACTGGACTACCCCGCCGCCCACGAACGTTTGAAATACAGTACCGGGCAAAAGAAAGTATACACCCATGTTTGCTGCTAAAAACGAAACAATATAAGACCTGTCTGTCCGAGGGTCATACGCTTGATACGGGTCTCACAGGTGTGTTCACCGACTGTTTTCAGCTGAGAAACAATAAATTAACGTACATTTTAGGTTTGTGTAATATTCATATTTCAAGAGTACAATTTCTTTTTGTTGTTTTTAGTTGTTTTGGTTTTTTTTTGGGTTGTTCTGTTTTTGTTCTTATTGCATTTTGTTTGGTTGGTTGTTTTTGGAGTGTTTTTTAGTTGTTTTGTTTGTGTGGGTTTTTTTTTTGTTGATTTTTCTGGGGGTGTTTGTTTTTGTTTGCTTTGTTTGTTTCCTCTTATTGTTAGTGTGTTTATGTTGTTGTTGAGCTTTTTCGGTTGGTTTTTTGTTTTGGTTTGTTTTGTTGTTTGGGTTGTTTTGTTGTTGTTATCGGGGTTTTTGTTGTGTGTTTTGGTTTGTTTTTGGGGGGGTTGTTTTGTTTTTTGCTTTGTTTGTTTGTTTTGTTAGGTGTTTTTGGTGGGGGAGGGGTTCTGACTGTGCACCTCCACTAAAACTACACACGCCACTGTTTGACAGTATTTGTAGTTCTATTTTCTCCTACACATAAAATATCCAGGTCGGATAAGTAGGTCTAAAACACAATATGTTTATGCCATCAACGGTATAACACAACATTGGTAAAAAGGTACACGTGACTTCCGCTTTGCATCTTCGGCAATCCCAACCCAACATTTGTTTTGTATTAGAAATAATGTATACGATTGTTTTGGTACAAAAATACAAAAAGTAACGCTCCGTATATAGTGTAGATATGACATATGATTTTCTAAACAAAAAATCGAAATATTTTCAGAGAAACAGTTTTTCCTGCTCACCAAGGCATGTTTTCTGTTCTGCCCGTTTGTTGTTTGAAGCTCCGTCCTAACGGTATAAGCCCTTTGTTCCATATATTACATTGTTTAGATTGTTTGAGCCGAATGTTTGTTAAAGCCGCATGTTCGATAAAGAACTATGTTCGCAATAGCCGAATGATCGTTATATCTGACTGTTCCCCTTTAAAGTTGTGTCTTATAAACGGAGAACAATGAACAGGCGGTTTTAACGTATATATAAGTATGTTGGTTGTGTTCGAGTGGATATTGTTTAGTAAACCACATTGTTCGTGATAACCGTATGTGCGTTATAACCGTATGCTTGTTATTGTCGACAGTTCGTTTTATCCGATCGTTCGCTATAAATGGGTGTTTGTTATTGCCAGTGGTTTCTGACATCGCTACAGGTCACCGTCCCTGAAACCAACAACACGGTTCATAATAATAGTTGCTTTCTGATTTGTTCTTCTCGAAGATATGGTAGATTACTGTTCGAGTGACACGCACCATCCCATCCCTGACGCCGCGAGACCACGACAGGTGCGCGGATATTTCAACAATAAGATAAACTTTCCCAGCCCACATTTGACGTCTTGGGCAAATCCAGGTAGGTTGCTGTTCCACGTCGATTACTGAAGTAACCTTCAAAACATTTTCATTTCCTCGATAGATACAATTATTTTACATTGCAACAACATACTTTAGCCGCGATTCTGTGTGAAAAAAAGAGCCGTGTGCGAAATGGACCAAGGACCACTATTTAGGATTACTATTTCTTGAACAGTTGTATAAATGGCGCTTTCAACAAAATTTCAATTCTATCAGAGCGAAAATTCTAAATGGGCATGTCATTGACATGATATGATATTTACGATCACCTGATGGATGGTAAACGTGAAGCTCCGGTTTGAATTGTTCTTTAACAACCGTAAGAAGCGACGAACGGGATCGGGTGGTCAGGCTCGTGACTTGGTTGACGCATGTCATCGTATCCCAATTGTGCAGATCGATGCTCATGATGTTGATCACTGGATTGTCGGGTCGGGACTCGATTATTTATATACCGCCGTATAGCTGGAATATTGTTCTTAAACAACAAACAAACAAACCTCGCGATTTGCTGTGGTTATATTGTTTTATTTACCTCACGTTCAACAAGTTCCCCCTAAACCCCGTCGGGCAGAAAGTATACACACGTTAGACTTCGGCTAAAGTGTTTTTTTCGATGTTACGCAATTGGGCACCAAGTACTGACGGACCATCATTGATGTTTGACAAGACTGTATCTTACATGAGGAGCGCCTGTGTATGTCAGAAAAGGTTTCAAAGGCACAATGTGTTTACTGTGCTGTTGTCAACATTGTTTCATTCATCTGGGCAAGTTGCGTGAGTAACGACAACGGGACTTCGTACTGACTCGCTCGTTAATACTAGTTCCGGTGACCCGTGAAGATCCGGGGTAGAATAGGTCTTCAGCAACCCATGCTTGCCACAAAAGGCGACTATGCTTGTCGTAAGAGGCGACTAACGGGATCAGGTGGTCACGCTCGCTGACTTGGTGGACACATGTCATCGGTTCCCAATTGCGCAGATCGATGCTCATGATGTTGATCACTGGATTGTCTGGTCCAGACTTGATTGTTTACAGACCGCCGCCATATAGCTGGAATATTGCTGAGTGCGGCGTAAAACTAAATTCACTCACTCACTAGTTCCGGTAAGCTATTTGAGAAAGGGGGTGGGGGTGCACACACTATTGAGAAGGGGTGGTGGGGGTTTGCACACTTCAATTTCACGAGAGTTTCAATGGTCATTTAATAAACTTTCAGGACAAAAGGGGGGTGCGCACCCCTGCTAACACACACACACTCTACCACCACACACCACACACCACCCCTGGATCCGCCTATGTAAGGTACAAAGGAATGCCGGGGAGCCGCTAGACCATATGGGCACTTGGGGCATCCGGTGCTAAACAGAACCGCACATCAACATATCTTCCTTTTTTCAAGGGGCGGTGGGGTAGCCTAATGGTTAAAGCGTTGGCTCGTCACGCCGAAGACCCGGGTTCGAATCCCCACATGGGTACAATTTGTGAAGCCCTTTTCTGGTGTCCCCCGCCGTGATGTTGCTGGAATATTGCTAAAAGCGGCGTAAAACCAAACTCAGTCAGTCCTTTTTGTCAAGCTTGAACTTTGTTGAAGAAATTACTGTTAATCCCGGAGTGTTAATACTGATGTGTAATAATGACCGTACAGTACACAAGACCACGTCTTGTAAACTTCAAAACTTCATAATATCCATAAATAAACTAATAACCTTATTGGAAAGTCTCTATATTTTAGATGGAGGGCTGTTTTAAAGTCCTCTTCTCTCCGATATATTGACACATCTTTCTCACTGAATAGATCTGATCAGATCTGATAGCACATAAGACCTTCTCAAAGTTCTTCTTAAAGCTCGGACGGGGAAACGAAAGTGTACACCAATGTTTGGGGTGGCTGAAACAAGAAATGGTTAATCCAAGAAGTATTGGATGCAGGTAGCATAGTTGTATTGGAACTGAAGTTGGCACTGTCCCGGGCACTGTTTTCTGCCTGACAATGTTTTGATAACCGTCGTAAGTTTTCAAATCCAATTTTAATGTACATACTTTCCTTAGACCGACAGTTTAAGCTACATTTTCAACCAAAGTCATCAGAATATAAAATAATCGTAATCGCTAACGACCTTCACCTTGATGTTCCAGAATCATGTTCCTCTTCGGTGTCCTACTCCTCGCAGCATCAGCCTACGGGTGAGTGACCTTGACCTGTTGTCTTATTGGACGTAACACTGGAAGAAGTTGCACACCGTAACGATTAACAAAATATTCTATCAGGATAACTTTCAGCTTTCAAAACACCGACAAATATAGGTTAGTATCTACAAGTTCTTTGGCACGAGGGCACATAATCCCCATGGGATTCCGGGTTCGAATTGGTGCCTGTTACGTGCTCTGGTTTGAGGTTTCAGGCCAACAAGAAGACACGTTGACTTCCAAAGACACGATGTTTAATCGACGACCTTCAAAAACACAATCAAGGGAGATTACTCCCAACTCATCATGTGGTAGAGCATACCACTAGGAAATCAAGATCACGTAACAGTGCCCAGCAACCCATGCTTGTTGTAAGAGGCGACTAAATGTGTCGTGATACATATATATCGAGTTCGGCGTTAAAAAACAAACAAAACGTGGCCCGCTAACAACGTGGTAATATTGCTGTTACGGCCGGGACCTAGACTTGACATTTCTTCCTTCTATATCAACAGGCAAGGCTCAATCCAGCACTGCATCCACACCAACGCCGAGCAGCTGTCGGCAGACGTCGTCATCGGGAAAGTGATGAATGATATGGACACCAACAAAGACCAGTACATCTCCGACCTGGAGCTGCTCATCGAGTTTGTCGGACGGTTTGACAGCAACGGTAACGTGAGATGGTGTAGTGGTTCTTGTTGTAGCAAGCGGTGATGTGTGAAGCTTACATGATCAATTAAAAGGTGTTGTAGCACCAACTGTATGACTGAAAATGTGTGAAGCTCACCTGATCAATCAGAATATGATACGTGGGTCGTCGGTAACTGAAAATGATGTATGGAGCGTGCACCATCAATCTGAATGTGTATTGGCGCGAAGGTAGTTGATAAAAGATGTGTGGAGCTTACACGATCAATCATGATGTGTGTAGTCGTACGACATATGTTGATGGAATGGTGTGATGGTGTGTGGAGTTTATACGATCAGTCTCAGTACGACATATGTTGATGGAATGGTGTGTGGAGTTTATACGATCAGTCTCAGTACGACATATGTTGATGGAATGGTGTGTGGAGTTTATACGGTCAGTCTCAGTACGACATATGTTGATGGAATGGTGTGTGGAGTTTATACGATCAGTCTCAGTACGACATATGTTGATGGAATGGTGTGTGGAGTTTATACGATCAGTCTCAGTACGACATATGTTGATGGAATGGTGTGTGGAGTTTATACGGTCTCAGTACGACATATGTTGATGGAATGGTGTGTGGAGTTTATACGATCAGTCTCAGTACGACATATGTTGATGGAATGGTGTGTGGAGTTTATACGATCAGTCTCAGTACGACATATGTTGATGGAATGGTGTGTGGAGTTTATACGATCAGTCTCAGTACGAAAAGCAAGTGCCATTCCTCATCCAAGTTTATTCGGATTGCCATGGTAACGCTCTTCCTCATCCATGTATATCCTTCCCCCAAAATATGACAATCGTATCTCTATGGTAACGCTCTCCCTCAAACAGCCGACAGTATGATCACACGCGAGGAGTTCATCCCCAAGTGGCACGAATATTACAAGGACGTCCCAGAATTCGCCGAATACCTCTTCGACCACTTCGACCGCACCAACGACGGTTTCTTGGGCCTGTACGACGTTCCCGGTCTCAAGGCGCTGGTGGATCTGGACAGTAAGTCGCCATATTGATACCACTGGGAGTTGTGGAGGAATGTGTGGATGGGTGTTTGCAGGCGTCCCCACAGAGATATTACTTCAATACTACTGAAAGCGGCTTCATAGACTCATTCACTCATGAAATAAACTGTCCATAATGTCACTTTTCCCCCGTTTCTTAGAAAAAAGGATGACGTGCACTTACCCGTATTTGTTAAATATCTCGTAGTGCGGGATCTATACAATATAAAATCATGATGCTTATCTCGTGTGCGGGTTAAGGGCGGCGAGGTAGCCTAGTGGTTAAAGTGTTCGCTCGTCACACCGCAGACATTGGTTCGATTCCCCACATGGGTACAATGAGTGAAGCCCATTTCTGGTGTCCTCTGATATGATATTGCAGTAATACTGCTAAAAGCGGACCTGATCTCACTCACTCATTCTTGTGCAGGTGAGTAAATGATTTTTTCAAGAAGTGTTTCCAAGACTCACACGTGTGTTTTTTTTGCTTCAGCCGATGGCAGAGTATCTGAAGTGGAATTCACCATCTACATGACACATGTGAGTCAACTCGACACAAAGTCTTCCCTATTTGTTCTGCTGTGACGCACTGGTGTTGTCTTAATGCATTGTCGTGTAATGCACTCGACGTCTGTGACGCTCTGAGGTTGTCTTTTACACGAGTGAGTGAGTGAGTGAGTGAGTGAGTGAGTTTAGTCTTACGCCGCACTCAGCAATATTCCAGCTATATGGCGGCGGTCTGTAAATAATCGAGTATGGACCAGACAATCCAGTGATCAGCAGCATGAGCATCGATCTGCGCAATTGGGAACCAATGACATATGTCAACCAAGTCAGCGAACCTGACCACCCGATCCCGTTAGTCGCCTCTTACGATAAGCAAGGGTTACTGAAGGCACATTCTAACCCGGACCTTCATGGGTTCTTTTACACGAGGGTTGGTGGGGTAGCCCAGTGGTTAAAGCGTCCGCTCGTCACCCGAAGACGTCCATCTGTCATTCTAGTTTAAAGAACATAAAACATATGTAATATACTGACTGTGCAGCAATTTTTTGCCTTGTTTCGTAAAATATATAGAGAGACATCAGCATTAATAAAACACCACCTTAATAAAAGTGGAATTTTCCTTGCACACTGCATTGCACATGAACAGCACATGCTTTATACAATATCTACAAAGTTGTGGGGCGGTAGTTAAAGCGTTTGCTGAAGACCGGGTTGGATCACCCACATGGGTACAATGTGTGAAACCCATTTCTAGTGTTCCCCGCCGTGATATTGCTGGAATATTGCTAAAAGCGGCGTAAAACCATACTCACTCACTCACTGTAACACAACATATGACCAACTAGCATTACCTGGCTGTTGTCATGGTGTTGTTCAGCTCCATGGGGATGTTGTTAATACCTTCTTGTTGTTCTTTCAGCTGTACCAAGACTGTGTCCCTCACTCACACAAGGACCCAACCGCCTAATTCTACCACGGACAACACAACTGAAGCAAATAAATCAAACTAGAATTGTTCACTTGTTACTCGTTAATCTTGTGTTTGGGTAGCCTCGTGGTGAATGGGTTCACTCGTTACGCAAAAGGTCTGGGTTCATTTCTCCAGATGTTGTTTGTTCCCTACATCATATTTACAGAGTATTGTTAAAACAGTCCCTCTCACTCCCTCAAATCCCATCCACCCACCCGCTCACTCACTCACTCAAATCCTATCCACCATCTCGCTCACTCACTCACTCAAATCCCATCCACCCGCTCACTCACTCACTCAAATCCCACCCACCCGCTCACTCAAATCCCATCCACCCACCCACCCACTCACTTAAATCCCACCCGCTCACTCAAATCAAATACCATCCACCCACCCGCTCACTCAAATCCCACCCACCCGCTCACTCACTCACTCAAATCCAACCCAACCACTCACTTAACTTACTCAAATCCCACCCGCTCACTCACTCACTCAAATATTACCCACCCGCTCACTCACTCACTCAAATCCTACCCACTCACTCACTCCGCTAGTAGTAGAGGGTACGATCGCGTTGACTTTAATGTCATCGTGCCCCAGTAACATTGATCCCTGCTCGTGATATCAATCACTGGTTTGTCAGGTCCAAACTTGATTAATTACAGCGGCGAAGAAAAATAGGGAACAAAAGTGACTGCGCATCTCACAAAGTTGATTCACATATGTATATTTCCGTACAGTGATACGCATAAAGTTAATCCTATATATGTGATTCCTACTTGATATTGTGTTACATCTGCAGCGGGTGAGTTTCGTATATTTCCGTTTAGTCAATTTACCAGTTACAGCATGTCTGTTTAAAGTGGGAGTAAAACCCGGAATGAAGCAGATCTTAGACCACATTGCTGAAACCAACAGGCGTAGGTATGGCGCGGGATAGGAACGGTCAGTAAGAACATGGGATTCGAACCCATGATCAGATGATTCTTGGACGCCTTAGATGACTAGGCCATACTTGACCCCTTAAAATATTTTGAAGGCTTAGTGATACACGGCCATTCCATGAGCAACCAAATTGAGCCTTCAAGCATAGGGACTGGCCACGTATGGTTTAAACATATTTTTATTCCGTCAATACAGAAACCTGGATAGGCGAACAAGCCAAGTGGCTTATATAAACGCCGCTCCAGTTCACGGTTCCAATATAGCTGGATACATATTTGAAATAGTCCGACAAGAAAAGAATACTACTGAAACAAAATTACACTCAGAAAAAAGATTGAATAATAAATATTTGGTTATGGTGTTGGTTGTGCCTAGCAACGAAAAGAGCTGCCGCAGAAAATCAAGTTATATAAATCTTGTCTTGCATTGAATATACATGTATATGTAGAGGTGATAATCACTGGAAGCGCTTACTTTTAGAAATGAACTGGTGTAATGAGTTTAGAATGTCACAATTTGTTGAGTTATCCAATGCGCCGTTACCGTATAAGGTAGTTTTCACATCGTATCCTTGAATATAAAAATACACCGTTGTTCTTAAATTTTGATAGTTCCGACATGTAATGGGTACTGAATGACGTCTTCATTATAATGACCACATGAACACTTAGCTGTTTCTGATATATGTCGATTATATCTGTCTGCGTTCAGATCACTACAGCCGAGCTTGAGGCGACAATGGATGATTTGACAAAATCTAGTCCCAAAATTTAAATCAAAGTAGTTGTCAGTTTCTGTTGGATTTATCATGGTTTTAAACGGCCACCTATCAAAGGGTAGGGGTAGAATTTAGGGCTGGGTGGGGTCTGGGGAGTCAGGGGTCATGAAAAAAGTGTATGCCTTTTCTTGAAATGAAGTATAGTCTGTTTGCAGCGAAAACGTACAGATGAATTTCACTTTAAACAAAAAAGTAAATCAAATAAAGTGAAATTAAGATTGCGAACCCCTTATAATTTTACCTTTCCAACTGAACATTTAAATCTCAGAACATTATTCAACTAAGGATAAAAGTTGTTTAACAAACGATCATAGTTTCAAATCGCTATTATCGGTTTGTATTACAAGGGGGTATGCACATTAAAAACACCGAGAACATGTAGGGTTGGTCTAAGTTAATGCTCATCGTGATTCGCACGTGCATTTGTTTCACTGTTCCAACTACTGTATCCTAATTCGGTAAAACGATGCTCATGCTATTGATCACTGGATTGTCTCGTCCAGACTCGATTATGTACAGACCGCCGCCAAATAGCTGGAATACTGCTGAGTGCAGCTTTAAGCAACAAAATAAAGTCACGTCTTCTAATGGGGGTATGAATCCTCTACATTGGCCGCCATATCACCGGGCCTTTGACATTATCCATATTCACTTAGCAGTTTCAATAAACAGTACAACCCTACGATTTTCATACATTTGTTTCCCTTTTTTCGCTGAGTATATTAAAAATTTCTGGAATTAGAACGGCTTCTGTGAAGTGTAAATATTGTTAATAAGTTGACAGTAGTTCAGCTATGAACAATTTTACAAAAATGACATTGTTATACACATCATTATTGTAGGAATGAATGGGTGCTAATAAAATATGAAATCTGTTTCACTTAGGAAATGATATATTGCAGTGTATTTGCAAAAAGAACATTATAGTTTACTGAACAGAACAGGTCCATCTATCATTCTAGTTTAATGAACATAAAATATGTAATATTCTGACTGTGCAGCAAATGTTTCCCTTGTTTGTAATATATATATATAGAGAGGTGAGGTGAAATTGGGTTTAACATCGTGCTTGAGAATATTTCGCTCATATGACAAGGTGCATGCGGGTGTATGTGTATGTGCGGCTGCTTGTACTAGCCCAGACTTAAGCTGGTTTTATAGTGCTAGCCCACTGAGATACCATGCAGCAGTGAAGCATGAATACCCCACTCAGACACATTATACTGACTGAGCCGACCAGTCCTTGTTGTACCCATTAATGCCGAGCGCCAGGCAGGGACCAACAAGTACCATATTTTAACGTCTTTTTTGTATGACGCAGTCGGAGATCGAACCCGCGACCTTCCGCTCTCCAGGCGGACGCTCTAACCACTACACCACGGAAGCAGTCTATATATATATATAGAGAGAGAGAGAGAGAGAGAGAGAGACATCAGCATTAATTAAACACCACCTTAATCAAAGTGCAATTTTTTCAATTTCCAAACAGGCAATCACCTCCTAGGACACTTCAATGCACATGAACAGCACACGCTTTATACAATATCTCCAAAGTTATAGGGGCGGTTGTGTAGCCTAGTGGTTAAAGCGTTCGCTGAAGACTTGGTTCAATTCTCACATGGGTACAATGTGTGCAGCCCATTTCTGGTGTCTCCTGCTGTGATATTCTCCTATGATGAGGCTGGTGATGGAACAATGGACACTTCATCAGCTAATCCATGGAGGCAGCCTAACAGAGATGTCAACCACTCCGATTTTCACACCCAAATCTGCTCTCTGATTTCTCTTTAAAAAACTCCGATTTTTGGAAAAAAATTCTGAATTTATTTTTTACGGTATACAATTTCGTAAGTCACCGGTGACTTATTTGAGTGAACACTGGTAACAGCATTCAGAATCTTAGCGTGTGATTCTTTGGGTGTCGATTGTGTTTACTGCGTGTTAATGACACTGAAGTTTTACAAAGTTTTTGTGAATGCATGTCATAGTCCGTATGAAAGTGAAACCCCCACGCGCTCATCCCAAACTCGGGGCGGTGGGGTAGCCTAGTGGTTAAACCGTTGGCTCGTCACGCCGAAGACCCGGGTTCGATTCCCCACATGGGCACAATGTGTTAAGCCCATTTCTGGTGGCCCCCGCCGTGATATTGCTGGAATATTGCTAAAAGCGGCGTAAAACAAAACTCAGTCAGTCAGTCAGTCATCCCAAACTCGAACCTTTGGTGCTCAGGCCTGGCTTTCAGCCAGTCATGACTCTGTTTTCCTTAGATTCAGGGATGGTATCTCTGGCCTAACAACAAACTTCAATGAAACTGTTTAAAGGACTTTACTGTTCGGGATATATAAAACATAGACAGTGTATAGGTGGTGCGACTGACTCCGTACAAGCTGCAGTCAAAATATTGTTTGTATCATAAGTTGCAGCCCAGCCCTGACTCTGGACCGAGTTCCTTGATGAGGGACTGGATCTCCTTGAAGTTAGGATGTTCCTTGTCTCCGACCAGCTGCAGAAGTACAGCTTCGCTTGTTGTTACTATGGCGCCACTTTGTCGGAATCGCTGCTCAAACAAACATGTCACATTAACAATAAGTTTTTTGTAATAGATTTTTTTAAACAGTGTTAATATACTGTAAACCATAAAATTAATGTGTCACGAATTTAATGCAAGGAGTGCGATGGTCTAGTCTAAAATGCATCAAGAAAATAATGCGAGCTCAGGAATCTAATGAATCTTTCATGTTGTTCATTTTCTTTTACACTTGTTATTTACCAAATAACTTGAATTGATCTTGTTAAGCAATGAATGGAAATGAGTTGGCAATGTTTTGATTACCCTGCCATGTTTGATCACCTGATTGCTTGCTACTACTTGTCTTATGACAACATTTATAAACGTATTCCAACTTGAAACAGTTCTGTTGAAAGGATTTACGTTTTCTGTCTTTTATTAAGGTCTCAAAAGTAGACATGGTCAGACTGAAATGCATCATCATAATAATGCGATCAGAGTACAGACGCATTTTTCTCATTAATATAATGCTCGCATTAATTTCATGATTAACAGCATTGATCGCTTCAGTGAGTAGTTCAGACAGTGGTTCAGAGTGGTATAAGTTTTACGCCACTTTTAGCAATATTCCAGCAATATCACGGAAAACAGAAATGGGCTTCACATATTGTACCCATTTGGGGAATTGAACCTGGGTCTTTGGCGTGAATGACTGGGTTTAGTTTTACGCCACTTTTAGCAATATTCAAGCAATATCACAGCAGGGGACACCTGAAATGGGTTTCACACATTGTACCCATGTGGGGTATCGAACCCGGGTTGTTGACGTGACAAGCGAATGCTTAACCACTTGGCTACCCCATCGCCCCTCCATTCTTAGAGAGCTGGGAGACTGAGGTAAGCCAATCCTAAACTTTTCCCTCTTAGGCGTGATGAATGAACACTTTCACCACTGGGCTACCCCACAAACCCTGAGTGAGTGAGTAAAACCATATCCCACAAATTCCTTCACATTTACCATGTTAATTATCATTCAAAGAAATGAATCAAATATTGTATTATCAGGTTATTAAATTTCTCCATTATTGATGAAATTAACTGACAAGAAGATAACCCTACCCAATGGGTGGCTAAATCTCAGACCACAACGAGTGAGTCGGGTTTTACGCTGCTTTTAGCAATATTCCAGCAATATCACGGCAGGGGACACCAGAAATAAGCTTCAAACATTGTACCCATGTTTGGAATCGAACCCGGGTCTTTGGTGAGACGAGCGAATTTCAGACCATCAGTGAATTCCTAGACAAAGCTCATTGGGTCATTTTGACAATTTTTGCAAATTATGACATAACATTCTTTTACATCACTATCAAATTCCTAAAAGTCTATGAACATTTTAGAAGACACATAGACACATAGTAAATGTCTGATGAATGCAAAATGAGCCAATGAAACCCTGTTGCACAGACGATGTGAAGGGAAAACCTATTTGATAGGGGTGTCACGATACACCAATCTCACGATACGATACGTATCACGATTTAAGGTCATGATAATTTTACTATCAAGACTTTGACGGAGATGGATATAGCATAAAATTTTGAATCTATAAAGTTTTACAATAGGAATCGATACACGCAAGCATGTATCGCGTATCGTATCGTCAGTAAAAATGTATCGATACATTCGCGTATCGCGACACCCCTACTATTTGACAATTTCCAAAACATGTAAAGACAGTCCAGGAAGGCTTAGAAGTCTACTACTCACCTCCAATGCGAAGAGTCGGTTCATCTGAGAGCGAGACGAACATGCATCAGCGATAACGTGAACCTCGTAGTCCTTTTTGAGAAGGTCAATCACTGTCTGCTGAATGCACACATGAGTCTGAAAGGCCATTATAAAATATTTACTCATCAATTGTCACATGTTTATTTCAAGGTGATCAAACAATATCCAGGAAAATCATCTGTTACAGTTATCATACCACCTCTAAAGGCCCTCCATTAGCTGCCCGTGAAACACAGAATCTCCTTCAAACTACTCTGTCTTGTATACCAGTGCATGACTAACACAGCTCCAGTCTACCTCTCAGATCTTCTTCAGGCTTATGTACCATCTAGATCTCTGAGATCAGAGAAACAACACCTACCCATTATCCCCAAATTCAAACAAGCTAAATATGGACATCGTGCCTTCTCCTATGCTGCTCCCAAGGAATGGAATGACCACCCTCAATTCATCCAATCCAGTCCCGACTATCAAACATTCAAATGTCTCCTGAAAACTCACTTCTTTAAACAAGCCTACTGTTAGTTCTCAGCTATTTACTCAACTCCTGCCCTTAAAGCAGGATATCAAGCCTGGAAAGGCATGTTATAAATATTCATATTCTCATACATTGTACACATGTGGGGAATCAAGCCTGAAGTCCTTAAGGTTTGTTCTAAAGTGAGTGAGTGAGTTTAGTTTTACGCCGCACTCAGCAATATTCCAGCTATATGGCGGCGGTCTGTAAGTAATCGAGTCTGGACCAGACAATTCAGTGATCAACAGCATGAGCATCAATATGCGCAATTGGGAACCATGACATGTGTCAACCAAGTCAGCGAGCCTGACCACCCGATCCCGTTAGTCGCCTCTGACGACAAGCATGGGTAACTGAAGGCTCATTCTAACCCGAATCTTCACGGGTAGGTGGATGAGAGAATCCTTTAACCACTAGGCTACCCCAACACTCCTCAAAGGAACACCTACCTCAATGCCAAAGAGGAGGACATGTTTGACGTTTTATAGGGGTGGGTATTGCAGAGAACTTTCATATTGCGATATACTGCAATGCGAAAGCATATATTGCGATATGTATTGCAATATATTGCAAGAAGGTTTTTTCAACAAAAAATACATATAATCGAGTTAATGCTTGATCTATAAAGCAAAAACACAACAGAATCACTATGCTTGATTAAACTTTAATAAAAACTTTTAATTTACTTTACCATTGCATATTTTACATACTGCGTTACTCTTATCAATAGTTCCATCTACCGTGAACTTTTTCAACCCAAAATGCTGCCATTCTAAAGCCTTTGCCCTAGCAGTTGGCACCACAATAAGTTGTACATTGTTGGGGGTCGCCATTTTACAACCAACGCATGACTTCTGGTGTGAAAACCGGAAATATCTAACAAACGATCATAGTTTCAAATCGCTATTATTGGTTTGTATTACAAGGGGGTATACACTTTAAATGAAACATAGAGAACAAGTAGTGTTGGTTTAAGTTAACGCTCATCACGTACCGCACGTGCATTTGTTCCACTGTTCCATTTACTGCGCTCACCCCCTTGTAATACAAACCAATAATAGCGATTTGAATCTATGATCGTTTGTTAAACAACTTTTATCATACGTTGAAAAAATTTCTGAGATTTAAATGTTCATTTGGCAAGGTAAAATTATGAGGATTCGCAATCTTAATTTCACTTAACTTGATTTACTTTTTTGTTTAAAGTGAAATTCATCGGTACGTTTTCACTGCAAACAGACTATAGATAGATTACTCCTTGCTCAAAGTAAAGAGGACAAGATGTTTGACATTTGAGAGCGACCTACCTCGACACACCAGTGGGACATGTTTGATGTTTGAGTTAGCCTCAACCTCAGCATCAAACAGGACAACTTGTTTGATGTTTCAGACTCCACCTACCTCAATGCCAAACAGGACGACATGTTTGATGTTTGGGAGAGACAGCAGCTTCTGTTCCACCTCTGGCAGCAACATGGTGAATCTGGTCTTGGGGAAAACCTCGACGGCATGGGCAACATCCAGTTCAGGGACTGTAGAGCCTAGGCCTTTAGGGTACTGCAGAGAAAGAGTCAATTACAAAAGCTGAGGCACTGAAAATCATAAACTTTAACTTAACACAATTTTAGTTTGGACTATTATTTAATATCAAAAGTGGACTTATTTTGGTGAGTGAGTGAGTTTGGTTTTACGCGGGGACACCAGAAATGGGCTTCACACATGTGGGGAATCGAACCAGTGTCTTTGGCATGACGAGTAAACGCTTTAACCACTAGGCTACCCCAACACTCCTCAAAGGAACACCTACCTCAGTGCCAAAGAGGAGGACATGTTTGATGTTTTATAGGGGTGGGTATTGCAGAGAACTTTCATATTGCGATATATTGCAATGTGAAAGCATATATTGCGATATGTATTGCAATATATTGCAAGAAGGTTTTTTTAACAAAAAACTACATATAATCGAGGTAATGCTTGATTTATAAAGCAAAAACACAACAGAATCACTATGCTTGATTAAACTTTAATAAAAACTTTTAATTTACTTTACCATTGCATGTTTTACATACCACGTTCCCCCTATCAATAGTTCCATCTACCGTGAACTTTTTCAACCCAAAATGCTGCCATAATAAAGCCTTTGCCCTAGCAGTTGGCACCACAATAAGTTGTTCATTGTTGGGGGTAGCCATTTTACAACAAACACATGACTTCCGGTGTGAAAAACGGAAATATCTAACAACGATCATAGTTTCAAATTGCTATTATTGGTTTGTATTACAAGGGGGTATACACTTTAAATGAAACATCGAGAACAAGTAGTGTTGGTTTAAGTTAAAGCTCATCACGTACCGCACGTGCATTTGTTTCACTGTTCCATCTACTGCGCTCACCCCCTTGTAATACAAACCAATAATAGCGATTTGAATCTATGATCGTTTGTTAAACAACTTTTATCATACGTTGAAAAAATTTCTGAGATTTAAATGTTCATTTGGCAAGGTAAAATTATGAGGATTCGCAATCTTAATTTCACTTAACTTGATTTACTTTTTTGTTTCAAGTGAAATTCATCGGTACGTTTTCACTGCAAACAGACTATAGATGGATTACTCCTTCCTCAAAGTAAAGAGGACAAGATGTTTGACATTTGAGAGCGACCTACCTCAACACACCAGTGGGACATGTTTGATGTTTGAGTTAGCCTCAACCTCAGCATCAAACAGGACAACGTGTTTGATGTTTCAGACTTCACCTACCTCAATGCCAAACAGGACGACATGTTTGATGTTTGGGAGAGACTGCAGCTTCTGTTCCACCTCTGGCAGCAACATGGTGAACCTGGTCTTGGGGAAAACCTCGACGGCATGGGCAACATCCAGTTCGGAGACTGTCGCGCCTAGGCCTTTAGGGTACTGCAGAGAAAGAGTCAATTACAAAAGCTGGGGCACTGAAAATCATAAACTTTAACTTAACACAATTTTGGTTTGGACTATTATTTAATTTCAAAAGTGGACTTGTTTTGGTGAGTGAGTGAGTTTGGTTTTATGTGGGGACACCAGAAATGGGCTTCACACATGTGGGGAATCGAACCAGTGTCTTTGGCATGACGAGTAAACGCTTTAACCACTAGGCTACTCTACCACCTCTGGACTTGTTTTGGAGTGGTACATATACATCAATGGAAATACAATAAAGGATGTCTTTTTGACATTTGGGGATATTATCTCAATGCAAGTTAAAATATATGTAACATGTTGAATGGACAGTGTACGATGTGGCAGATTTGTATGTTATTTAATGTTGCACTCAGTAATATTTCAGTTGTATGGTGGCAGTTTGTAAATAACCAAGTCAGTGAGTCTGAGCATCCATTTGTCGCCTGTTATGACAAGCTTGGGTTGATGAACACCATTATTAACCTGGATCTTCACAAGGAACTCATGGCAGGATAATATTCTGAAATGTTTTTCACTTCAATCGACTGAAGGGGCAGTGGGGTAGCCTAGTGGTTAAAGCGTTGTCTCGTCACGCCGAAGACCAGGGTTCGAATGCCCACATGGGCACATTGTGTGAAGCCCATTTCTGGTGTCCCCCGCCGTGATATTGCTGGAATATTGCTAAAAGCGGCGTAAAACCATACTCACTCACTCCCTCAATCGACTGAAGCATGTATATTGTAATATAGGCTTTGATAGTCTAGCCTGCAATTAGTTTTTTAAAACTCATTCTTATGTAAAACAGACAAACTTTTTCCTCTACTTGTCTCTAATCAAAAAATGATCTCAGCCAGTAATACTGTGTAGCACTTGAGTTGTCAGATTTGTTGGGCAGAGCTCTGTTGTTTTGGTTCGAGAATTGCATCATGCATGAACAACAGGTGTGACGTCAAACGTGGACGTTTTTTCAAGGTTGATTTAAAAACACCCCGAGCTGTAGACATACTGACACTTTAAACATTGAGCATGTGATAGAGTTACAAACACACTAGCATCAGTGTCTGAGGCTGTTTTGGGTCATATTTCATATCAGTGTTATGAACACCGGGAAACTTTTCTGGTACACAATTGTACACCTGTTGCCATTCTACACAAAAAATGGCTGAACTTTGTCTCAATCTATATCATGTCTGTATTTACAAGATGGTTTACCTGTTCAGTCACAATCAGAGGAATGTTGAGAATCTTTGATGCCTTCACCTGTGAAAGAACAGTGAAACTATAATGTCTAAATGGCATTAAAAGTGAAATGAATGCTCGGTACCATATTTCCCTCTATCAAGTGCCAAGGCCCTTATTCTTGAAACGTTCGTAGCCCTGGGCTTAGGAAGTTTGTAGTGCTACGAACGTTCGAGAATAGCTACCCAGGTCTCTAACAGTAACAAGCGTCTGCCTCCAATAAGCGTCAGGGGTAAAGTAACTGTTCAATAAATAAGCATCGGGTGTGCCACATGTTTACAATGGAGTTTTCAGTTAAAATACCAATGGAGAATCTATATTTATTTCCGTTGAAACTTTAAGCGCGGGGTCTCCAATAAGTGTCGGACCCTACTAGTACAATTAGCACCTGGTCTGAGTTTGCTGAATTAATAAGGGGTGCCAGTCAAATCGCCCCAGCTACAAAACGCCCCAGCCAATTTGGTCAAAATGCCCCAGATTTTTGGTCAAATTGCCCCAGGTTTGGTCAAATTGCCCCAGGGGGGGGTAGTCAAAATGCCCCAGTGTATTTAAAATGATTAAATATATGCTATAAATGCATAGTTTTTGTCAACTTCCATATTATATACTTCGTATAATATTATATAGTAATATTTCTGATAGATTTTCTATTAGTAAACTGATAAGAGCAAAAGTAATATTCATGTATAGACAACACTATAATACATGTTATTAATGCTTTTGTAAAGAATTACATGACTAAAATGAAATGTTTGTATAAAATGTTTATTGGCCATAAATGCATAGTTTTTGTCAGCAAGTATGGTATAATACTTATCAAAACAATTTACAGCTTTTGTTAATTAATCTTGTCAAAAGGTGCGGCCGTAAATGCATAGGTTTTCTCAACAAGTATGGTATAATGCTTATCAAAACGTTCTAGAGCTTTTGTTAATTATTTTTGTCAAAAAGTGTGGATAAAAACAGGCTATTAAAACATGTTCACTAATTGACATTCAATGCTGTGTTTAGTTAAAGGAAATGTTGAGGCTCGAATGTATGAGCATTTCAGGCTATAAAAACATATTCACTAATTGACCATCACCTATCGAGATTCAAAATGTAATTTTGAACGATTCTAATATCTACAGTCATTTTTACTTAAATTTCAGTAGCAGATTTTGTCTAATCATACATTCTCGTCTCCAACTTGAATGTAGTGACCTTAATGCGCACAAATATGAAAGATTTATATCTCTGACATCATCTTGCTCTTGTGGCCATAACTATGAAGACTCTGCTCACTATTACTTTTCATGTACTCTTTACAACGATATACGTCAAATTATGTATTTTTATACTAAAGGATTTGACCTAAAATCAGTTTTGTTTGGAAACCAACGCTGCTCCTCAATAGTAAACAAAGAGCTTTTAATTTCAGTGCACTCTTTTATAAATTTAACAGGCAGATTTGATCCAAAATATTTTGTTTATATGACATATAGGGTTTAACCATGATTGGCGTTATTTCTCGTTTTTGCAACATTTATGTATCATTCACACTGTACATTCATCATGACGAGTTTATTCTTCCTTCCATTGTATCCCAGAGCGGTATTCATATAAGCTTATGCTTGTTTACCAATCCGGTTCCTTTCTTTGGAAATAAACATGTTTAAATAATAAATATTATACCATACTTGTTATGATTACATAATGACATTTGTTGACCAAAAACTATTTACAGCCAATAAACATATTATACAAACCTTTCATTTTACTCTTGTAATTCTTTACCAAATAATTGGTATTACAGTGTTGTCTATACATGAATCTTACTTTTGGTCTTATCAGTTTACTAATAGAAAATTTATCAGAAATATCACTATATAATATTATATATAGAATATAATATGGAAGTTGACAAAAAACTATGCATTTGTGGCATATAGTTAACCAATTTAAATACACTGGGGCATTTTGACTACCCCCCTGGGGCAATTTGACCAAACCTGGGGCGATTTGACCAAAAATCTGGGGCATTTTGACCAAATTGGCTGGGGCGTTTTGTAGCTGAGGCGATTTGACTGGCACCCTTAATAAGTGCCCTGGCACTTTCTACAGGCAATATGGTACATGTGAACCACCAAAAGCCCTCCCTATGCCTATTAAATATCTGTATTAATTACTCGTCACTGGATATGCTGCTGTTTTCCAATCGTCCATTGCCATTCCCAGTCACTGGCAATCAGCACCAATTAAATACTGGCTTCCTTTGTTAAGTGTCCGACCTTTGTTATGTTAGTAAATGTGTTTCACATGCACACATATAGTTATCTGATACCTAACTTTCATTCACCTGATAAAAGAGTAAGAATATACTTAAAAACGTCGTAATATTCTCACATTACAGCACTTGACATCCATAAACTTCGCTGAAGGGGTCGTTGTCGGCACAGGTACTACAGATATGTACCCCCCGGTATGTTTCTGTATACAGACATGTACCCTTAACAAAGTCAAACTACAGAAACATATTTAAATAACTGAGGACTAAATTATGCTGTTTCCAATACAGAAACTCATACTACGGAAGTCGTGTTAACTGTTAACTCTGTTAAACATACCAATCTCTGTGCGATCTGCAATATATCGGAAAAATGTTTGATCGCTGGGCGAAACTTTTCTTGCATGTCACAGCAGAAGAATACTGTCTGGTCCAGCCGGAGATCCCCCAGCCTCCTTTCGCTCATCTTGAAAACCTGTCGCTAAAATGAATTCACGTTTGCACTAACTTCATCAGCGTGATGATGAGGTTGGACTTCGGCAGGTGCGTGAAACTAATATTGTGAGAAATCATTGTTGTTAGTTGTAGTTCTGCTAAAAATAATTCCTTTTTAATCGTAAGAACAAAATACTAACATTTATAATTATGGCTATAGATGTTTTAATTTAATCAATATTCCAATGTACGTCATTGCCTTACAAATATCTTATATGGGCATATTAATGCATAAAAAAAAATGAATAATGATACCTCTTATGCTGCTCTTCAGTAAAAGAGGATGCATTGTCTTGTCAGTTGTAAACTTCCGGATTGCATGATTGCGTGATTGTTTGTTTACAATCCTGTTGCTATGTCGTCTGTTGTATGAATCTCCACCAAAAATGGCTGAAATTGATGTAGTTTCGGATGCTAATGACGAAACGAAGGAAAAAAGAAGCGTGATTAAAATCTTTGATAATCGAGACGAGTGCACATACACAAGATGTTACTGGTGAGTGATGCCTGTTGCTTGTGAGTCTGTCGATTGTGCGGGTGTGTCCGATGCCTTTATAATTTAATGATATACATTGTCCAGCTTTATTCAGTAAACCAAACGAGATAGGGGTAGACTGCCCTTTACGGGTCCCCGGAAGTTTACGCTAAGACATGCGCAGAAGCATGTCCCCAGAAGAAGACGAGGTCCCCGAGATATAGATTGGGACCAATGAGCTCACACATGTTTACACTGATTGCAGTGTATTGTAAACCTGTTGCCATCCAAGTCACACAAGTTCGATCGACATGTAACTTCGATCGGCCATTTTGAATGGTAATTCTCGCGATACGTAACGATAACTTACGGTATCTGCAGTTTTGATCTTCTGGCGACACTGCTTTCGTTTGTTTGGACAGGAAAATGCTTCGTGTCAAGTTACAAAACGTAAGTTTAAGCTCATATTCAGCAAACAACTACTTTTCAACCCTAGATCAATAATGTAACTTTAACAGCTCAAATAAAATGTAAACAGTATTCATTTCACACGTTGTAAATTGACGGCAAACCTGTCCTCCACTTGTTTAGATTGCTGGTCTAAATGTCACATGACCAGATACGTGGTAGCCAAGTCAAAATTTAAAACTATGGAAACAAATTTGGGCCATTTCTTATAGAAAACTTAATGCTTTTTGAGAACTTCCGTCTCTGTAGGTTAGATGTTATGGCTCGAATGCACTTTACCGGGCGCAGCCCTCGCTGCTCTCTGCGGGGCAATTATCGCGCCATATGGCACTACGGCACTGTCTCCAGTGCTGTCTTGCTATATCGCGGTAATTGCTCTGTCTCCCTTCACTTGCATCTTTTGAGTCAAACAACCCTTTACAATCCTTAGGGTTTAGGGTTAGGGTATGGCACCCTTTACGATCCTTAGGGTTAGGGTATGGCACCCTTTACGATCCTTAGGGTTTAGGGTTAGGCACCTTTTACAATCCTTAGAGTTAGGGAACCTTCACGATCCTTAGGGTTAGGGTATGGCACCCTTTTCGATCCTTAGGGTTAGGGTTGGGAGAGGGTTAGTGTTAGGGAACCTTTACGAAGTTAGGGTTTAGGGTTAGGCACCCTTTACGATCCTTAGGGTTAGGGTTAGCACCCTTTCCGATCCTTAGGGTTAGGGTTGGGAGAGGGTTAGGGTTAGGGACCCTTTCCGATTCTTATTTATGGTTTGACTTTACCTTAGGGCAGGATAATCCTATTATATCCAATTGGAAACCCATATCGAACCATCCGGTACTCGTCAGTACAAACCAAGAAATAATGGCGCGAAAAAAATGAATGGGAAGGGCGTGGCACAGTGGAGCGGAAGCGCGAGAAATGTAAACAAACCATTGCACGTGCGCAGTGGTTTGTTTTCATTTCTCACGCTTCCGCCTCATTTCTTCGCAAATGACCCGTTTAACGAGCACTCATTAACTGTGATGGTGCTTGTGGTCCCAAGGTAGAGCGTCCACCAATTACATCACTAATTAACGAAGTCAGTAATCCGGCGCGTTCGAGCCCCAGCAGAGCTAGTTAATCTGAAAAAGTGCGCCCGGTAAAGTGCAGTACTCCCGATGTTATAAAAGAGAAAGCTTTATTTTTATAGGTTTTGACCAATGATGAAGAACCCAGAAGAGGCCAGTATAGGCAATATTTGTCTGCAGCCCTAGACCAGGCATACAAAGCTGTTTTGGATGGGATGGCAATTAGGAAAGCTGCCACTACCTTTGCTGTTCCATTTGCTACACTTCATGACAGGTTCAGTGGGAAAATTTCTATTGAATGCACGACTACTGGTAGAGAACCCCTATTGTCCATAGAAGAAGAGCAGGGACTTGTTTCACATATTGAGGCCATGGCAAATTTCGGGTACGGCTATACTAGGGCTGAGGTTACCACCCTTGCCACAGACCTAGCAATTCATCTTGGAAAAAAGTCAAAGGATGAAAACCCTCTATCACTTCAGTGGTTTTATGGATTCCTGAAAAGATGGCCTGATCTATCATTGAAGAAAGCACGATCCCTTGAGAAACAGAGAGCGAAAGCTACCTCAGAGGAGACCGTCACTCATTATTTTCACAAGCTTGGACACATCATGGAGAAATACAACCTGAAGACATGCCCTCATCGAATTTATAATGTTCATGAAGAGGAACTTGTGGAGAATCACACCCCGAGATCAGTAGTTACATCAAGTCAGAGTACTCCAGCTGCAGTCACAGCATCAACATCAAGTATTACAACTGTTATCGGTTGCGGGGAATGCGTGTGGTAGTGCTATACCACCGTATTTCGTATTCAAGGGCAAGAGGATGCGGGAAGAACTACTTTCAGGAAGTACACCTGGAGCAGCAGGCACTGTAAGCGACTCGGGCCGGTCGAACATGGAGATATTTCAACACTATCTGACAGAGCATTTCCTAAAGCATGCTGTCGCCATGACTGCAGATAGTCCACTTCTTATTGTGTACGATGGTCATGGATCCCACGTATCTATTCCACTGATCGAATGGGCACGTCAGCATCACATTTTTTTGTTTGTACTGCCTCCACACACGTCCCAAGTTTTAGATCCAATGGATGTTGGTTGCTTTGGAACATTTGCTGAAATTTACAACAACCTCCGTCATAAGTATATGCAAGAAAATGCCACCAGTTCAGTTGATAAACATTCGGTTTGTGAACTTAGCTGTAGAGCGTATAACCTGTCGCTGACACCAACAAATTTGCAAAACTCTTTCAGGAAATGTGGAGTCTATCCATTTAACGAGTCTACCACTGCCAATATCAATTTTTTGCCATCAACAGTTTTGAAGACGGCTGAACTTCCTGATACTGGTGTTATTGATTCAAGTGTGCCGGTTGTAGACACAGATGTCACTTCACGTACCGAGGCCAATGATGTAGCAGCATTCTTTAAAGACAAGGCGACTGTACTTTTCAAGCAAGCTGTGCCTACTAAAAAGAGAAATGTTCTGAGCGCTGTTGTCGGGGGCAAGGCTATCATTATGAACAAAAATATTTCCCACCAGACTGTGAAATCAGCACCCCAGAAAAGAAAGCAAACACCTTTACCTTGTAAATCTTTGAAAAAAACTACGGCCATTGTGACGAATGCTAGTACTTCTGGAATTTCACGGACCAACGCGCATCAGGGCAATAGTTTTGATTCGTATGATTGTGATGGGACAAGTGATGACGAACTCTGCTGCAAATGTAAACAATTTGTACCTGATGAGGTTCGAGCTAGTGCCTCATTGATAATTACAAACTGGGCACAATGTACCCACCCTACATGTCAGCACTGGACACATTTACGTTTCTGTACGCCAGTTCGTGTTGTGCGTCGACATTCTGAGTTTTGGTGCCCCTGTCATGATAAGCAGGAAGTATAACTCCCTGCATAATACTTGTAAATAAGCTGAATATTTTCATCGTTTCTTAAAGTATTAAAGCATAAAATGAACGTTTCATTGACAAAAATACCATGAAATTACTTGGGACTGCTCTAACTCAAGAGATTTGACACAAGAGATCATCCATACAAGTCATCCTGTTTACAAGCCAGCCAATCATATGATCGAACTTGTGTGACATAGCTTTCTGGGTCAGTTGTGTTGACAGTGAGAGGGTGGCCATGCCGCGATTGTGAAAAGCAGCAAAAATACCTGGATTTCGGAAAAGTTTGACATAAATAAACAAATTTAGAGGTAAGAGATTTGAAAATTAGATTATATGAATATTACTTTGAAAAGTCAGCGACAGTTCCTAAGTGATCGAACTCCCATGACACGAGGATATAAGTTAGTTAGATGTTTCACAGTTGTTGCATAGGCGGTTCCGGAGGGAGGGGGTGCTCATCCCCCCCCACCCCCATCCTTTTGTCCTGAAAGTTTATTAAATGACCACTGAAACTCTCTTGAAAATGAAGCAGATCACCACAGTGACATAAGAATGTTACTTTTGATTATGGTGAGGAGACAAGTGTTTCACTTCTACTCCTACTATAGTCTGTTTGACTCAAAAGCGGACCGATGAATTGCAGTCTAACTCGAAAACTAATAAACATAAAATGCTCAATGAAACACTGATCATAATCAAAACCTCAGACCAACTCTGTGAGGTTTTTTGCAGAATTTATGTCCTAAAAATAAAAAAGTTGTTTAACAAACTATCATTGAAATATCGACACAGTTCACTATTTGCTACGAGGGAGGAGTGCAGAGAAAGGGACAGCCAGGTGTGCGAGAAAGGATGGAGACGGCACAGCACAGGTTAATGAATCAATAACGTTGTCGGCACTTGCTTCTCTAACACCTGGCTGTCCCATGTAATCCGACTTGAAAGACTTCTTGGTTGGAGAATGTCCGGTCTGACTGGTGTGCTTGAGTGACCTTAAACAATGACCAGTGATTGTAACCAGTGATAATTACATGTGGTTTGAGATACCTGTAATGAGGAAGTGACTAGTATTGGTGTAATGTGTGGTGTCAACAGATTTACGTTTTCTGTCTTTTATTAAGTTCTCAAAAGTAGACATGGTCAGACTGAAATGCGTCATTATAATAATGCGAGAAGAGGACAGACGCATTTTTCGAATTAATAAAATGCTCGCATTAATTTAATGATTTACAGTAATTCATTAAGTGTCTTCTTATGACCAGCGTTTGTTGCTAAGGACCAATTCTAATGTAGACACACTGCAGTCATAGTGAGTGAGTTTTAGCAATATGCCAGCAGCATCACAAAAAGGGACACCAGCAATGAGCTTCAAACATTGTATCCATGTGGAGAATCAAACCCAGACCATCAGCATGATATGCGAATACTTTAACCACTAGGCTACCCCACTGACCTATTATCGCCATAGAGCAAGGAAATACGCTTCAAATCGCTTTGAGAGGTAACTTGGCAACAATATACATGTAGTACCTCCAAATATAAGTGTGCCAAAATTCAATTTATGGTTAGTACTGCAGCTATAGTTAATATGTTAGGTTTCAAATTATATTTACAGGTAAAATTTACAATATGTCCAAATACACAACAGCTGTTTATCGTCTGCATAAATGTCTGCATGTATGTCTAGCATACACTCCGAAATGTCGTGTTATTCACAATAAAGAAGTTGATGTCCAAAAATCTTGCTTTTCTTATAAATGTCATTGTAATGCATCTGTGTCTTGTTCTTTAGTGAAGAAAACATCTGGAAGCTCTGTGAATCTGTGCAAGACAAACACCCTGACCAACTCCCCAAGTGCTTTGCTGTCTTCATTTCCAACTCAAATAAACAGGCAAGTACTGAAGCTGTGTGTACAAAAGTATTTGTGTTTGGCTGTATTGCATGTAGGACGATGTTAGAACATTCTTGTAATAGTAATATCATCAGTGTAATAGTGTAAAGATTTAGATTGCAACAACCTGTTCACATCCATACCAGTGTTTCCATTCTCTGGTATATACCTGAAAATAGCCGGGTAAAATTCGTTAGGGATCGGTAAATTGAAACCCAGCCGGACACCGTGTCCGGTAAATAATCATGTATTAAAATATAAAAAATCATGGGTAAGCGAAATGATAGTCTTGGTTGTGCTTTCATGGTAACAAAAATTGTTATGTTTTGGAAATACCCAGGCTAAATAACTTTAAAATGAATACGTACAGTATGGTAATAGGATATGACCAGCAAATTTCATTCATGACCGGTATAATATTAGGTCGTCAGACAACAGTGTCCGATAAATAATTAAGTCAGCGGAAACACTGCATACTGTGGTTGTCGGAGATAAGACACCTGTACATGTTCTGTGGGTTGTTAATTGGCCAATTTCACCAGTATACAGCCCCATATGTTTAGAAAGTAAAATTAAAGATTGCTTTATTTATGGTATATTATACTGGGTCTTTTGCAAAATATTACAGTTATCTTTGCAAGTGACCTGGTTATAGCACCAGGACATGGACTGTACTGAAACATTGTTTGCAAACAGAAGCCCAAACTGTACGCTGCTCTGCTCAGCCTATTCCGGAGAGAGAATTTCTGCTCCAGTGACTACACCTTCATATAGTGACTGTTTTCATATGACCAACACTTTAATATTGGAATCGGGGCTTTGATAAGCACTGGCTACTAATCTGAAGAAGCTGGCAATAATAAGTATTTCTTAACTTATTCGGAAAAACACACAAGCTTTCTCTCTAATATATACATGTCAGAAGCCAGTTGATTCTGTGGTGGGCTTGAGTTGTAGACTTGCAGTGTAATGATAAAGATATCATCTTGACATTGTTTTGGCAGACTCAGATATTTATATATATGTACATAGCTTTTTAATTAAGATTAGGTGGTTATTAGGTAGATTATATTAAGTAGTAAGGTGTATGAACTTGTTGCCTAATCCTAATTAAAAAGCTATGTACATATATACTGGACAAAATAAGTTAGGGAATTGGTATTTTTATGATTGATATTTTATCAGTGTGTCAATGAATAAATAGATCATTATTCATAATTTCAAAATTTACATATATCCCTAACTATTTTTGTCCAGTAAATATTTGAGTCTGCCACATTGTATCATTCATAAGACAGAACATGTTTAAGTCAGTGAGTAAATATTGCTTAACACCACAGTAGCCATTTTGCATCTATTTTCACCCTTTGTACAATGTAACTTTATAGTTCATGAATCAAACATGTAAAATGTCGAAGTAAAGTGTCAAGTTTATTTATTGTATTGCCAACTTATGCCAACATATTTGTGATCATGTTTGTTGACTGAGCTATGTAACACACACGCATCAGAAAGACCCAATCCTGAACCTCCTGGAATACATAAGCTATTGTTTAATGAGTGAGCTGGCATATATTACATGCTCTTGCTATTACCTGACCTCAGGTTACTGGTGGTTTTACCACATCAGGCCCCGATTTCTTAGTTTCAACTTAAGTTAGAGTTTTTACTCAAATTTGAGAAAATGCATTTCCCAGAATGAACTAAAATCGATATTAAACTCAAACATAGTAGACGATTTGAGTTTGGTGGATAGATTACTTAAGTTGTTTGGGCCTTTTTATTTAAAAAAGGCAGTTGAGTTAAAAATTCAGCTGTTTCAAATTGTCCAACTCAGTTTGAAATTTGAGTAAAAAGGTTTTTAACTAGGATTAGGCAACAACTCTATCATCTATATCATGATACAATATATTCACTGGTGCTGTGTTTTGTGTGAGCAGATTCCGCTATGGATGCAGGCGAGCAGCAAGAGAGAAGACAGACTCGTCATTTGGGTGAGCAAACATACTGATTGTATGTGAGATTGTGGTGGCCAATTATATTAATTTTCATTTTCTGAGTCA